TCCTTGTCGCCATCGACACCTTCCATCATCGAAGACACGGATCTGCTCATCTTTTGTTGGCAATCACATTTTCTTACATTTTGATCAGAATGCCTAATTCCTATGAGCTCTGAAGAAGTCGATTTGCAGGGGTTTCTTTTGCTAATCGTGACAGAGCTGCCATTCTAGTCAAGGTGTTTAGACAATTATACCTGTCATTCCAATTATACCCCTGGCCCGCCGTGAAAAATACATAAAATGTGGTGGCGCCGCCCAAAAAGTCCTACATTGGACTTGATAAAATTGTTTGAGGACTAAATTGGTGAAAAAAAACCGTGAAGGACTAAATTGGTTTAAGTGAAAAAGTTTAGGGACCAAATTGGCGATTTGCCCAAAAAGTAAAACATTTTTTTTGGAAACATTATTGTATTTGCCTGGATCTTAGAAAGGTCCAGGATAGAGATAGGGCCTCAGAATACTACTGTTGTTTTCCTTAGTTACAAACTTACACAAGAAAAGACACTAACAAAGCTGGAGTTTTGCTGAGTGACCATAGGCAAGGATTGAGGTGGCCTACTTTGTAATAGTAGAAGAGGATAAGCACCATATGCATCTCTCCCTTTCTCTCGCAATCTAAGCTTAACATCTTTCCCTTTCTCCATTCTATTGTTTGTTTGTAAGCTGCGACAGTTGAATCCGTGAAGGAATGAGTCCTTATCCATGGAAGCCTCAACGAACCAATAAAAATCTTTGCAAAACAAATTTTAGAAAAATGCTCAAACAGTAGCTCGTGAAAATTGAAGTCCCATTCCAACCCCATAAAATAAACACAGAAGAGAAGACTTGCTTTGTTTTTCTTTTCCTACGCTTATGCACGTGAATTCCCAATAATTTCTCATGCAAAAGTGGGTCCTAAAGCCAGCCTCGTATCTTTTGTTCTTAAGCCAAATTCCAACTCTCAAGAATCTCTCCACTTCTCCTCTTCTCGTCCCTCCTCTCTGTCTCATCAGTCCTTCGTGCCTCCTTCCCACGTCCTTTGATCTGTTAAATATTTCTAATTGTTTTGTTTCTCCTTCAACAACTGCACCGGGATATTGGCAGAAATCTAGATGGCTTCTTGCTCATCGTTGGTGCTTGTAGCTGTTATTCTACTTCTTAGCACTAATACTCGTGGAGTTTTCAGTAGCTACGGAGAGAAGGAAGTCCTTTCTCTGAAAAAGCTTCAATGGTCACAGAGAAGTAGCAAAACAAGTTTTTTATCGCAAAAATCAAGTGAGTATGTGAAATGATGAATGCTAATAGATTCTTTAATTGTGAATTGTAACTTCGTAGCTTTATGAACTCCTTTGGGATCCGTTTTCATGCACTGTAGTTTCTTGAAAAGCCATAAGATTCTTTCTCTGTCTCTTCAGTCTGAAGAGACTGGACTGGACCGCAGCAGTAGTACTAGTAAAGTAGTGGAATTCAGCTGTAAAGAGCAAAGAAAAAGCTTAGTTCTCGATTGTGGTACAGTTTTAGGCTATGTTAACTGTTTGAAGTTGGCTAGAATTGCTTCATTGCCCCCAGAACTGAGATTTATTTGCAAATTGTCTAAATTATGGACGCCAACAGAAAGGAAAGCCCCGTACGTACATTCTTTCTCCTTGTTTAGAATGGAAAATTCATTTCTTTATATAGAACTTATACTGCAAGCTCAAGGTTCCTTTCAAGTATAAATTTTCTTCATACGAAAATGTCTGTAGAATAAATAATACCTTTGCTTTTGCAGGAACGGAGAATGGTGCAACTATTTTGGAAATGAGGCACAGAGATTGCTTCTCTGGAATCATATCTGACTGGAATCAGAGGCTCCAAAATTGGCTACAGGCCGATAGAATTCGAGTCAAGTCAATACAAGCTCAAATTAAAATCTTGGCTTCCGGCAAAACTGAAGCCCACTCCCAAACTCGGATTCCCATTGCTTCTGGTGTAAATCTGCATACCCTAAACTATATCGTGCCTGTGACAGTAGGTGGCAGAAATATGACAGTAATTGTTGATACAGGCAGTGATCTGACATGGGTTCAATGCCAACCTTGCAAATTATGTTATAATCAACCCGAACCTATATTTGACCCCTCATTATCATCTTCATACCATTCAATTCCTTGCAAGTCATCAGCCTGTCAGTCTTTGCAATTTGCCACAGGCAATTCAGGACTCTGCGGAGGTGATGCAGGAACATGCAAGTATGATGTGAGCTATGGTGATGGATCTTATACTCGAGGCGTTCTGGGCAGCGACCGCCTAATACTTGGAACCATCCCTGTTGAGAACTTTGTATTTGGCTGTGGAAGAAACAACAGAGGCCTCTTTGGGGCTGCTTCAGGTCTAATGGGGCTGGGAAGGAGCGATCTTTCCCTGATTTCTCAAACTTCTGATGTATTTGGAGGTGTTTTCTCCTACTGTTTACCTACAACTGATGTTGGTTCTTCTGGTTCGCTAATATTAGGTGGTGATGCTTCAGTTTACAAGAATTCTACACCGTTTTCGTATACTAGAATGGTTCCAAATCCACAGCTGGTGACATTCTACTTTCTCAATCTCACTGGAATTACTGTTGGCGGGGTTGCTACACAAGCTCCAAGTTTTGGTAAAGCTGGGATTCTTATTGATTCAGGGACAGTTATTACGAGGTTGCCTCCATCAATTTATGAGGCTGTGAAGACCGAATTCTTGAAACAATTTTCAGGGTACCCTACAGCACCAAGCTTTTCAATCTTGGACACTTGCTTTAATCTTTCTTCATATGATGAAGTAGATGTTCCCACGGTTAAAATGCAGTTTGAGGGTGATGCTGAGCTCACTGTGGATGTCACTGGAATTGTTTACATTGCAAAGAGCGATGCATCTCAGGTTTGCTTAGCTCTTGCAAGCCTGACTTTTGAAGATGAGATTGGTATTATTGGCAATTATCAGCAAAAGAATACAAGAGTCATATATGACACTAAAGAGTCTAAATTGGGATTTGCTAAAGAATCTTGCAGTTTCTATTAGATTAGATGGCCTAGAGGCTGCTGGTGGGGAGAGCCAAACAGCTAGTTGGCTGCTATGAAGGAGATTAGCCATTTCTGTTTCAGTCATGTATGATATCCATGATTCCTAATTATTGGGAATGGTATAGGTAGTGTAATTGTATGAAAAGCCACTTGTATTTGCTGAGCGTCCAAGTGTAATATATGACACTATGAAATGTAGCTAGGGTTCTGGAGGCAAAAAGCTTCAAGTGCATATCGGTTTTCTCGACCGAGACTATCCATAGCGGAGACTTCTCGACCGAGTTCTCGGTGACTTGGCCGAGTTTTCGGCGAGTCAAGTATCTCGAAATCATTTCGTCCCGATATCATATCGGAGGGGTCTATTCCGATAATGGCTCGGCCGAGTCGTCTTGGTCTCGATCAAGACTTTGAACCATGCTTACACCTATGCAATTATTATATGGAAATGCGATTTTTACTACCCGTCTATCTCTTTGCTGGAAGGACAAAATGACTACAAGTATATGAAAGTAATGCTAATTAGACTTTGAGCATAGGAATTTCCAAAGTTTATATCTGGATCACCGGAGTGTGCTGGTAAATGTGCAAACATCCAAAATCTGCAGTATCTTCCACAAATTCCAAATCTAGCAAACTTAGACCACAAATCCGAGAGCAGGAATATAAGAATAGTGTACGAATTAAGGCAGACATCGGTGCAAACAATGCCAGCGGGATTTGGATTGTTTTTTGGCTATTCAGAGGTCTCAACAAGAATGCCGCCAAATAATCTTGGAAAAACCAACACTTTTGCAGTGCTAAAATAAATGAAATGGGAATATAAAAAGTATTATATCAGAGATTCTTAACACGAATGACCACACACAAAGCTCATCTTTGGAAATGCCTCGTAGACAGAGCATATGATTTCTCGTTCATGAAATGGAGCAACAAACAATACATATTAGAAGTTGAAGGCACAATCACTTGCCAAATTTCTACCTGATCTTGATACCCTCCAGCCAGAATTTGAGGATGGTTAAATCCTGGCAAGACTGCCAAATTATCTTTATCAGCAGTCAATTAAGCAAGTTTCCTTCACTGAATCACTTTTGTATCAATGGCTTCCAGCCAAACTGCTTAAATAATGAGATAGCTGAAAACTTGAACCAGCAGAAAGTCAAGGACGTTATACACTACTGTTATCATATGAGTAGCATTTCTTCTGTCCTACTTCCCAAAATATTTCAGCAAACTTTGATGTGAAGATATCAAAAAGATTTGGATCTTGCCCATATGATATGATCTCTTGTCCGGCAGAAGCCGTTGGGGCTGAGAGCGTTCGCGGATAATCAATTGCCTTGGGCAGGTCCAAAGCAAATAAAATGCAGGGATGAATAAAGGAACAGATAGATACAAGTTCATTCAGCAAAAAACAAGTTTAATTAATTTGGATCGCAGCTTTTGAAGCCTACGCAGCCAACATTCCGTTAATGCAATTCCAACAAATTACAAAGAGCAATTTATTTACCCTTGAAGGAAATTTGCTCATTTACTAAACACGAGTGTCGGTTCAAGCATACTGCTAATTCTGGTGGATGCAAGATGGAATTATTATTATTATTTTTTAAATATTTTTAGTAGATGTGTACTGAGAAGGGTAGAAATTACATCATATAAATATTTCTGATAGATCAAGTCAAAACCAGAGCAATTAACATAATTGCCAGTGTTGTTTTCACCTCCAAGTGGTTTGCATTAACTAATTGACCCATTAGCCAAAATACGATGTATTGTCACTCCTGGTCCGAAATAGTAACGTTAAATAAGTTATTTAATGTATTTATGAATCACAACTACAAGTAAGTATACATGCGTCCACACATCCATGTGCTACACATACTACCTGTCGCTATTACTAGGTTGTTAAGAATTATACACTTCCTTATCATCTAAAATAAAGATCCAAGGAGAGGCAGGAAATTCCTGCATAAGCACACTCAATTTTTTTTTTTTTTTAAAAGTATGGTCCATGCAATTGATTAAACACCAACGGAAACTAACTCTTTTTAAGTTTCCCCATATACAGTTTATCGCTTTTGAGGACGAAGGTATGGTTAACCGACTGTGTATCCCCATATACAGTTAAACAAATCAACCGAAGAATTATGCCGGCTACAGTCCAGAAGTAACACGCACGCGCCGATCTACGCTACCTAGCAAGAAATCACCTACTGCTAAAATATACTACCACAAACTGCAAAACATCAGACTTTGAGGTTTGAATTCTCGTTATTGACAATATTCGTCTGCTTGGCTGTAGAATCTCCAATGTCTGCTTCTTGCGACAATCTAAACTTTAGAATCTTGTGAAGTTGTGTTATTGGCTTGACTTGCTTAGTGGGGGCACGCTTGTTGTCTACTATACATCTTCCGGTGAAAAGGTTGGCTTCAGATGGGCCTGTTTCTTGATGGAGCTCAGGAGCAGCATCTACAAACATAACTCAGTTTTAGTATACTATAGGAAGAGGTGTTCAATACATGTATTCTTCCTAAGATTTTTGCTAAGAATGATACAAATTTAAGATGCTGGATAAATAATCAACTGTGTAACACGAAGAAATTCAACATTTCAAAGTCCAAAATGTGTCCAAACTTGCTCGTAAAGTTTCATCTACTCGTTCAGTGGTAACAGGGCAGATATTCTTCTTATTCCTCGTTCTCTGCCCCAGTACTTACATGAAGTCCAGAATGACAAATGTAAAGCAAGCGAAAAATAGGAAATTTTAGAACCCATAGCCAGCTGATTCTTTAGAGTGGGGCAATTTGGCCATCATTTCATCTACAACTTTTAATCCAGTCCCCAAAGAACTAACCTGAAAGCAACTCAAGGATCACCAAAAATTCCATTTCAAGTACTAGAGCAGTCATTGTAAGTTACATTGAAATGAAGGGCACAATATTCGTTGCAAGAAATGAAGGGTCTTGACCATGGTGGAAGATTGGTTATTGACCTGTATGCCAACCACTTAGACAACTACAAGCAAGAATCATCAGAAGACAAAAATCCTAAAAAATTTTGGTTGGAATTCCGTTGTGCCATTCAAAGCATAAAATCTCACTCAGCCATCATTTAAGATACAGTAATAGGACTTCAGCAAACTTACATCAGAGCTAATTAAAGTTGCAAAGTGCGTCAAATTTGAAGTGAAGGAGGAGAGTAAGCTAAAGCATTTGACTGATGAGTTTAAAGGTAAATAAGGGATAATCGAAATTCATTGGTCTAATGAAGAGGTATGGAGCCTTCTCTGCACTTCTATGTCCAAACACACTTTTTTCAAATTAAAATAAAAAAGGACAAAGAACAGGGAGGATTACATCTTACCACATTCGCTAAAAACAAGGCACGTCCCAATTGTTTCTTCATATTCACCTATCTGAGAAATAAAAGAGTAGTGTGACGTGAATACATCAAATACAATGTAGTTTTCACCACCCAAACCAAACAAATTCCAGAAAAGCTTAACACTCACCAGTCTAAATTTCTCGTCGATGATCAAAGTTGGATTTAGTGTGTCTAAACCCTGCATAAATTATCAACCAAAGGTTAGACATCACATAGCAAAAGCCGGAACTGTAAATCATTTAAAAAATTCCAAACTGCACCTAAAAAAAAAGCAATTTAGATATTGAAACAATTTTGAGCATTCAGAATTTCAATCAGACTAAATAACAAAACCAGAAAACACCGTATCCACCTCTCCAGGAGCAGAAAGAATAAACATGAACCAAAAAGATAAACAGACTGCAAAAGTTATAAACATTGGATAAACCAGCTTTACAATATATCTTCCAAAATTCCAAACTTTTTGCTTCTAAACATGGTAGCTTAAACAAGAACAGAATAGATGACGGACTTCGCATTTACCACAACAGAAGCAGAAAAAGAACCATATTTATAATCAATCAAGCAATTTTACAGCACACACACACACAAAGAAAATGACAACATGAAATTTAACAATATACTAATAAGAATAAAAATTAGAGTTTGAGAGCGAGGTTGAAGAAATATTACAGAGAGAACATAGGGAGCATTGGGAGGAATGTGAACAAGGTCCGTCACAGCATCCAGATTTATCAATACGTACTCTTCTTCCTCCACCTCTTCCTCCCTTTTATCATCCTGGTGCCATCTTATATTGTTGTCTTCCATCATTAATTTGATTTTTAGCTGGAAATAGCATCAATTATTTCAGAGTATTACTCTAATCGCATAATAGTTATAATAAATGAACATAATATAAAACTCACGTTGATGAAGCTGCCAAAACCAAAACCCCAGGACCCAAAACCCCTATTAGCATCGAAAGATTCGACATTTAGTAAAGAAAATCAAATTTCCCAGAAAAAACACTTGCTTAGCTTGGAAGGTTTTGTGAAACCTTGATAAAGAGCAGGGAAAGTAGAGATTCGAAATTACTCATACCCTTTTCGGCTCCAGGAGACTGAAAAGGGAAAATAATTCCTCAGGAATGAGTTTTCTATGTTTGGCAAATATGCAAACTACTAAGGAAAGAAAGTAAGTGAAATTGCTAAGGGAAGTGTTCGCATAATTTGCCTAGAATAAGAGATAATCAGCTTCCACACAAAAACGTGCGGAAACGGTGGAGAAAGAAGCCTAGATGGATCAACACGCATATCTTCAAGTAAAATGATAGAATCGGATCAGTTGTTAAGGAAAGTTACCCTCTCTTTTCTTTTCTGCAACTCACCGGACAGAGGAAGGAAGAGAGAAAAGGAGAGAGTCGCGTGATTGGATGACTACTGCCCGGAATTGTCGCCGTCTCCGACTCTGGCGCCGCGTGGAATTGGGTAGAATAGTGGCTGCGATGGACGTTGGTGGGGATGGGGCTTTTTGGGCCGAGAAACGATGGAGAAGAAAGCAGTTTCAAAAATTTTACTTTAGCCCCAAATCTTTTGTTCTATGTGCTCAACCCCCTCCAGAGTTTTATATCACTGGACTTTACTTTTTAATGTTACATGTTGGCCGGTCAATTTTTTGAGAAATAATTACATTAAATAACTTTTATTTTTTTGAGAATGAACATTAAATAACTTCTAAATAGGTTTGACCAAGATTAATTCAAGTCAAATAATTGTTGCTTTATAACTTTGGTTTACCGTTTTTTTTTTTAACCTCCCATCCCTACTTGACCCTTCCCAGCCACATTCAATGGAAACCTGACCGCGATAGAATCTCTAATAGCTGTTGTTTTATAGTTTCGAATTTTTAACCTTCAATCCCTCTTTGGAACTTTCCTACCCACACTTGACAAAACCTAACAGCAACACAGAAACTCTAACAGTTTTTCCATAATCACTGGCTAGTGATTTGCAGTTTTAAAATAATTAGGTTGTGTTTGGATTGCATTTTCCGTTATCTTTTATGAAAAAATTACTGTAGCGATTTGATATATGTGAGGGAAAAAGGTGATAGGGAAATGTGATCACGGAAAACGACAATATTTTCCGACGGAAACAAGCAATCCAAACAAGGCCTTAGAATTGAAATCTCAAATTCTTGCTCATAATGGCTAGCTTATTTTCAATCTTTTTGACAATAAAAACAAAAAAATTGTTAAAATTCGTTTGAGGCTATTCAAGTTTTTCGTCGTCCTTCCTGTTAGGGTGCTCTTATGAAATTTTCATGATCCTCAAATCAGATGCTCCTCTATGGCGCTACATGTGAATCCCGCTAATATGGCAAAAGCCTTGTACGTGCTAATATGGCTCGTGCTTTTTGATTTGGATGCCATCAGTAATATTAACCGATGGATTAGTCTCCTCGCTACTTCACTCTCTTCTATCTTTATTGTCTCCGCTTACTTTTGTGTTTGGAGGGCGTACTGTTGTATTTGGAGGGGAGAAATGTGTATTATTATATACTAACAAAAGGAGCTAAATGATAAATAGTTTTGGTCCGCACGTAAAGTTATTAAAAATTACAATTCATGTCAAAACAATAATAATATTTTATAGATAAAATTATATAATAAAAAGCAAAAGGATTCAAAGGAGTGTACACTACGACAATAGGCTACATGTTCAAAATAGAGAGAGAAAAAGAAAAGAAAAGAAAAGATAAAATAGATATTCGTGTTTCATATATCAAAATTTATAATATAAAAGATAAAATAGAATTGATTCATTTAAAATAATAAATAAACAAACAAATTTGAGCCGTTCTTTTGGTTTTACTCTTTCAAACTAAACTTAGCTTTGCATTTTCAAAGTAAAAGCACCAAGTTTAAAGTGATGTCAAATTTTCAAAGGACAGTTTATAATTGAATCCGTGTTTAACTTCAAAATTGAAGAGGTCAACTTTAAAGTGAAAAAGAAAAATCTCATAACAATTCTTGCAATTTGGTTTACGTCTTCAAAATATAATACTTAACTGACCTTTCATAATATAAAAATTATATTAAACCAAAAAACTGATCACAATAGTTTCAAGTGTAGGCACCTGAAAATGCAAATAAAAATTTGATACTATTGTATAACATCCTTAACAACTACAAAAATTTTAAAAATACTTAGAATATAAAAATGACATGGTGGTGTTACATATTTACATATGAAGAAAATAATAAAAAATAAAAAAGAAGAAAAGAATAAGAATATACAAAACAATCAAAAAACTCTAGGATGTTCTTAGTCATTGGGTTTTAGGCTCTTCTTCAAGCCTATCAAGGTCAAATTTGGGTAAATATATACAAATTAAGTAGGTGTAGTTTAGGTTCAAATATTTTATATCTTTTCTTAAATTATATTGTTATTTCCTTTTTATTTTTGGTAAGACTCATTTTATTTTCACTTTATTTTTCATCAAAAATAAATATCTTAAATTAAAATTTTCATGTTTGAAGGGCCAGTAGAATTTATTTTTAATTTAATGATTTCAAAATCTAGGCTTTATTAATGGTACCATTATTTATTCGATTTGGTTAACAAGGCACTTGTTAAGAGCAGTTTTGAGTGTTTATTTTTTATTTTTTTAAAAAAAAGTATAATTAATTTGGAAGAGTGTCTAGATACATGGGGATAAGTAACCAATATCAAACATAAGCATATTATATTTTGGTAAGGTTGATAAAAATTGAAATTCACATTGCCGAAGAATCCAGCCTGCATCGTTCTCAATCTATGGGCATAAACATTCCTCTTTCTATAGGCCGACTACAACCTAAACTACATTACAAATAACCATGCTTAGAACGTATCCAGAAAACCAACCAAGGTAGTAATAATAATAATAATAATATAAACAGCAATTCTCAATTCATTCATCTAATACGGAAGTAGTAAGAGAGTTTGGAATTTGAATTCGAAATAATGATAAGATTAGTTATTTTAAAGATTTATTGAATTTGATGTAGTATTAAATTGGAGGCAGAAAAGGTGTATCGGTTTTAACTCAGCATGTAAATCTAGGCTAGAAAATTGCAACCTACATCAATTCAATTCTTAGGTTACCATATATTTCTCCTCTCTTCAATCAAAATTTAAAAACAGCTTAACCCCACCAGCAAGAGCCAAGAGGAGGAGCTAAGCAATATAACCACCAACTCACTAGCAAAACAAGACAATTCAGAAGGAAACCAAGAAATGTACTCCCCACACCAAACCAAACCCGCTCATAGACGGCCGTACTAACTACTAACTATCCACCCTTTTTCCTCTGCCGGCTTTCTGGTTTTCTCCTCTGATTTGCCACCTCGCTCTCTTCCAAATAATCCAAATAATCTTCTCTCGTCGCCATTTTTTTTTTCGTCCCTTTCCACCCTTTATATCCCTCACATCTGATCTGAGGAGGACCAAGTCATTCTAAATAGTTACCATTATTTCATTACTAGCTATAGTTCATTGGTCCATTATTATTCCTTTTTTCTATCTTCCTCCTCCTTTATAGCCTTTAATCTCTGCACTCATCAGAGCGATCTTTCCTCAATTTTTTCGTCCCTCGAGGTGAACTATCTAATCTTCCTTATTTCATGGCGAAATCTTCCAAGCAGAAAACAAGTTCCACTACCACCACCACCACCACCAGCATTGACGCCGATAATAATAATAGCAGTAACTCTACTACTCCCGTTGTCAAAACCACCAAAACTAAGCGAACCCGCAAGAGCGTGCCCAGAGATTCTCCACAGCAACGAAGTTCTGTTTATCGGGGTGTTACCAGGTACTGTAAATATATGAAAGTGGTGTGGTGATCATCTTTCCATATATAACCACGGCTTTTCTTTTCTTCTTTTTTGCCTTTCTTTATCGAATAAAATTAAAGGGTTTCATTTTACCACCTATGCTTGCTGCAGACACCGGTGGACTGGCCGGTATGAAGCTCATTTGTGGGATAAGAACTGTTGGAATGAGTCGCAAAACAAAAAAGGAAGACAAGGTTTTCTTTTTTTCTTTTAATCACAGCACTATTTAGGATGCATGTTTTAACGTCTTTGTTTTAATTAGTGGAGAGTGATTAACGTGGGGGTTTAATGTTTTCCTTTTTGTTGGGGTGTTTCTGTTGACCGGTGTTCACGGTGGACTGCAACAAAAAATGCAGTATATCTTGGTAAGTAGGTTTCCATCTTTATCAGCATTGTCATATATTCTTTAATTATCACTAAACCTCAATTCGAATTCTGAAAAGAAATATTACTGTACAATATCGGTTTGAAAAGGTCCACTCTTCTTGCGCTCATATATATATATATATGAAATAAGAAGAAAAAAAAAAAAAAAGAGTCACTACGTGGATACAAGCAATATTGTACAAGTGGATGTGGATGCTCCATGAATCGGGCTTTCTTTTTTTTGGCTGGCAGGAGCTTACGATGATGAAGAAGCGGCGGCACATGCATATGACTTGGCAGCATTGAAGTACTGGGGACAAGACACAATTCTCAATTTTCCTGTAATCTATAATTCAACTTGCAAATCTTTTTTTTTTTGCCCCTTTTTGTTGAAGGAATTTATACTGTAAGATTTTAAAAGACTTGAATTTCTTTCTGTTAGATAATCATAGCGGTTTTGCTTGATGTATGTAGCTCTCGACGTATGGAAATGAGCTCAGCGAAATGGAGGGTCAGTCTAAAGAAGAGTACATTGGATCATTGAGAAGGTACGTTGTGTACAAACGCAGTTGCCAATAGGATCACAAATTTCCTTTAAATGTCATGGCCCTTTTTTATTTTGATGCAATGTCGGATATCAACTTAATTTGAAGAATCTGTTTTGGCAGAAAAAGCAGCGGGTTTTCGAGGGGTGTCTCTAAATATAGAGGAGTGGCCAGGTAAAATTAGTTTGTTTCTCGAAGGGAATGATATTATATTAATTTTCGCATTTGATGAGCATGGTTCACTTACCATCAAGCAAAATAAAAGACATGAATCCCGCCTGTGATTAAGACACATAAGTATGTTTCTCTCCTGAAATTAGCACCTACCTATCATTTTTTTTTTTGGAGTTTTGTTTAACTGATGCCCAGCGTTAAAATTGACTAAACGTACCGTGTAATTATTACCCTTCCTCGCATTTATATACTTTTTCCAGTTATTTTTACTTACATTCCTTTGTATTTATTTTATTTTTTCTAATTAAGAGTATTATCTTTTAAACAATATGACACGTGAAATAAATCGTAACCAGTATCCGTTGGCACCCGTTAGACAGATTTTTTTTTTTTTTTATAATGTACCAAAATCCAAATATTTGTTGTTCATATCACAACTTAGTATGAGGTGGGGTTTATACTGATACATACACGGGAAATTGCTGTACTCCGTTAATGGCAAGGCCCCTCCATCCAGTTCATTTTAAAAGCCAGCCGGTTCTGGTGAAGTAAACTTCTTATTATAACTTCTGGGCATCATCCAGCCACAAAGTGGTTAGGAAGACGTAAATTTATGACTCTTGACTAATTGATGCTGGACCAATGATACAAAGTTGTCAAAGTAGTGCTTAGGTATCCATCACCCTTACTTGCCCAATTGACATGCATCATGCATGCCAAGTCTGATCGGTTCTCATCATTTTCATGCAATAGCACATCAGTCAGTCCACAGATCTGGTAGAATTGAGATGGAACTTTTTGGGATGATCTTCTCTCACATTTTAGCATTAAATTCTGGCGGTGTTGATTGCGCAGACACCATCATAATGGGAGATGGGAGGCCCGAATAGGAAGAGTCTTTGGCAACAAGTACCTTTACCTCGGAACATATGGTAACTCTTTCCATCTTGCCCTTTGTTTACCCTCTGTTGGCTGGTATATTTTTTATGCCAAAAATGCTCATTGCCTCCTTCCACCATAAGGACAAATCTAACTAAAAATTTTCGTGGTTTTTTGAGTGTTATTCTTCTTCATTTCTTGGTTTAAGAGCTAGATTAATTATGACTCTCGTTGTTGTTGTTGTTTTCTTCTTTTCCCCTTTCCCCTGGTGTGATTCAATAAAAAATGAACCTGCTTTCTTAAAAAACGTTGTCAAGATTACCAAAAGTAGGTGACTAATGCGTCTGCAAGGCTCATTAATTAATGGTTAGATAATCTACTATAGAATGAAATCAACATCTTGGTCGCCCACCTAATTAACCAACGGCTCCCAATTACTTGCTCGTGGCACAACATTTGGCACTTTCCAAATTCAATAAGCTAATTAATCTATTCAAACAGATTTCATAAACATGATATGACCCTTAAGATTATCTATTGATACGCCTAATTAATTGGATATTTTAGTAGAGAAAGCTCCTTGTACCTCCATATGTCACTAAGATTGATTTGCATTCTTAACACAAGTCATGCCAAGTGAAAGCAAACAATAATAATATTTTGTGTTGGTTCTCACGTGGTATTATTAATAAATACTCCCTCCGTCCCACTTTGACAGTCTTGTTTCTTTTTTCACACAGTTTAAGAAAAAGTAGTTAACTTTGTTGGAAAAGTAAATTTAGATTGCTATTTTCCTAAAATACCCTTACATTAAATATGGTACAATTTTATGGGAACTTGAATTGATGGTAAAAAAAGAATCAACTCTCATTAAGTGGGGTAGGTTTATAGTAACAACTACTTACATTAAATAAGGGTATTTTAGGAAAATTAAAATACAACCACATTCTTCAATTGGGAAGTGGACTACAATTTGGGACAGATGAAAAAGGAATACATGACTATTAAAGTGGGACGGAGGGAGTACCACAATCTTGAGTAATTATGTATATCTAAAGATGAAAATTTTGAAGTAGTGCATACATGCATTAATGCGTAGTCATGAACAGAATTAGTAGATGATGAAAGAGCATCAAATATGGTTGGTAGTTGTACGTGGATCACCAAACTCTCAACTGCTAAGGCAAACATTTAAGGTTTAAACTTTTTTGATGGAGTATTATAACTTTTTCAACCTTTTCCACCAAACATTATAATATGTGGGATGAATTCTTGAATTTATTATAGTTACGCCCATGCACGTCATGCAGCTACACAAGAAGAAGCAGCGACTGCATATGACATGGCGGCAATAGAGTACAGAGGACTTAACGCCGTTACTAACTTTGACCTTAGCCGTTACGTCAAGCGGCTAAGACCAAACCAAACTGGTAACGGTGTCAATAACGTTGCCAGCTCTGAACAAAACCCTAACGTTGACCTCGAAGTTAATCCAATCAAGGATGATGCCAGTGAAGAAGTGGATTTAAGCTTCATCCATCAGCAGCAGCAACAACAACATAGCTCTAGCTCGCCCGACACCTCCACCACCACCACCACCACCACCACCGCGCCACAGCCATGTCCAGCTGGCGGTGCCACCGCTTCGTCCGCGTCAGGGCTTCTCCTGCAGTCATCCAAGTGCAAGGAAATGCTCGAGCGGGCATCAGCTGTTGACAGCCCTTCGACGCCTCCCGAACAGCCAGAGCCGCCGCGGAGGAGCTTCCCTGATGATATTCAGACGTACTTTGCTTGTCAAGACTCGGGCAACTTTGCCGACGAACATGACAATATTTTTGGTGACTATAATCCATTTGCATCAACTATGTTCCCATGTGAGCTTGATGCATAGCAGAAGAGACGCAATTATATAAACGGTGGCTTCTCAAGAATTAAATATAGAATTATACATCGATTTTGTGAATACAGAGGTTGAAGACAGCGGCTGAGAAATGATAAGTAAGGCGACAAAAAAGAGTCTTAGGCTTCTAATTATTATTATCGATCGAGTTTTTAGTTAACACGGTGCTTCCATGCTCTTCCCATCTGCAATATCGGAAGAGAAGAGTTTTTCTTTCCTTTTTACTTTTGTTTGTTGGTTTGTTTGTTTTACTTTGGTTGTTAATGTAGATAGGTTGGGTATAGACATTCATTTATCAGTTGCATTGATAAAATTTTTGTAGCCAATTAAGGGCATTTATTCTTCTGTTAGTGTCACACTGTCTATTTTTTCTTAAACTTTTGTGCTTTATATCCCCTGTCCACCATCTAATCCAAGGATTTGGGGCAGGGACGGTCATACACGGTTAAGGGCCAAGATTTGCCTTCAAAATTTTGTGTGGCTGAGATTACACCATGTAACTCGATTTCCGCACCAAGTGTGGGACCCATCACTATCTGTTGTGAAAATACATCCTGTGAAAAAAAAATTACACGATGTACAAAGAAAGTTACGCGCAATTGATAATGACCAAAATTGCCCGGGACGGTTGCACCTGCAACCGTCCGTGCCCCGAGTCCCTAATCCAAATACTTTCATACTCATGAGAAGCCAAATATTTGGGTCTGGTTGCCAAATATTTGGGACTGGTTGAGGAATCAAGAGACTTCTTGATAGGTTCTTTGATACGAAATAAAAGTTTAAAATCAATCGTTTATGTAGAAGTAATTGTTAGACATTGGCACAATGTGGAAGTTGCTTCTTGTCTAAATCTATGCTCTTTTTCCTTGAGCATGCCATGCCAATAATACTCCAAGCTACAGACATTTCTCCTATTAAAGACAAAGGACTCAAAAAAGCCTATTCTTGCTTTACAATTTGCTCTCCAGATGCGAATCAACTCCGAAGTTTCTCTCTTTTGGACTACTTGCCGGAATTTTCTAAGATGCTTCTTTCATCTCCTTTTGTGATTCACCCGTAAAAGCTGCAAAACATCTATGGTTAATTGCAATTGCCCTTAAACTATCAAGTTTTTGAACTTTACCATCTTATATTATCTATTTGTATCATATAGTTTACTCAAATAAGTTAAAAGTTTGAATTTAGATTACTGTTTTTGTATGAAAAATTTGTATACCCCAAAATTGCATTTGTTTACCAACAATCCCCTTGTTCACGTAGGGGTGTCAAAGTGTTTTCACTCAAACGTAGCTAAGAACATCCATTAGGGAGAATAACTTAAACACTTGTCTTCTTTTTTTAAGGGATTTTTAAAGTACTTTGAAGGACCAAGGAAGTCACCAAACAAATGTACCATACCTGCATTTCTCAATGTCCGCCGATTAGGCAATTCTTCCCAAATAAACTGAATGCTTGAATCTTTCTGTTTCCTTGGACTTTCTTTAGTGTCATTTGGTTGGAACTTCTTGTTCTCCGACCTAAAGAATTTAACATACTTTCTGATTGGTGCAATGAACATATGTCGATCGAAAAAACACAAACCAGATTCATCTTTATCTCTTCAATTCAGACCAGCTTCCAAATGTCAGCATGCATTTGCACAAAAGGCCAGCTCAGGGCCATTTATTGGCAGTTAGCGACTAAATTAACGGGCAATATCCGATTTTATGCGTAAAAATCCGCATCAGCTGGTCCCAAATCCAAAAAAAAAACAAGTGGAAAATAAGCAACCAACTGGCAACCTTTTTGGAGTTCTACGCTATCCTGCTCCCCCGACTTAGTATAATGGGATATGTATTCTGGGATTATTTCTTGGGAATTCAATGTCACAATCTTTGTTAATGTACTAACCAGCAAGAAGATACCCATGTGGACAACGTCAAAGCATAGGTAAGGTCAAGTAGCGTGCTGCTTATAGCTTGAGACAGTAAGTTTGGGATCAATTTTGTTTAAATTTGCTTTGTCGGATGTTTGTCGTACTCTTGCTTCGTTTTATTTTCTTTTCCTCGTACTTAATTCAGGGCTACCCGAATTTGCTTAGAAGATTTGGACAGTGCATATATGATTAACTTTCTTTACAATTGATAAATTCCTGTGTGTGTAGATTACCTAAATCTAGAAAATTGTATGGCTATCCGTACTATAAAGTCGCTTTTTTTTGGTAGAATTGGCAAATTGGAGATCTTAAATTTATGCAGTAGCCTGTGTACACGAGATGCTTTCAAATTCCCACGTACAGGCTTTTTGATAGAATTGGTCCACTCGGAGGTCTTAAATTTATACAATAGCCTATCTCCTCTATCTACAGGAAATGCTTCAAAATTCCCACATAAAGATCACACAGAACAGTGCAAAAGAAAAGATTGGAGAAGAATCTGATACTTTCTCTTATCTCCATTTAATCATCTCTAGTCGCCTAGCATGTTACCAAAGTATGGTATTCACAAATCAGAAATCAGAATGTTACTTAGAGCCTCAACCTCAACTGTGGAGGCCCCCCAAATCAAGCTAAGAATTAGCTAATGACCGAAGAACTCGCTAAAAATTATCTTTCCCTCGCTTGTAAAGAACTAAAACCAAAAGAAAATCATAGTCAATGAAAGTTGCTGCTGCTTTTTGTGTGTCTAATACCCTGGTCTTGCTTCTTCTACCTATGTTACTGGCTTAGAGTTACATACATGCTAGCTTCAGGTCTTCAAAACGAACTTCTGCTTTGAATAGTATGCCTGGCACCTCTATCCCTTGTTGGCGGAGGAAGTCAGCCAATGAATCAGTGGCTTCATCTTTGGCTGTTGCATTGCCAACAGGATATTGTAGTTACATTGTGCAACAGGCCTTTGAATCAATAGAAGCTAAACTGATGCAGAAGGCCTGAAATCCAGTCATGGGATATCTGCAAGATAGATTACATTCCTTGAATTATGACATTGGTATAAAAAATTCATTTCTTGCTTGACTGTCGTGTGTTCCAAAATTGAATTAGTTTTCTCTACGCAGGTACCTGAAATCCATCACATAGTTGGACTTCCCCACCCTTCCAAGCTGGAGGATTGTCTGCCTTCCATTCTTCTAGTGACACAGAGAATCTTTTAGAAAATCGATCGACATCATTATGCAAAGTGTCGTCTATGTGAAACAGAACCTGGGGCTTTAAGAGCATATAATAGTTATGCTTGAGAAACTAATTCTATTCGTTTGATTTAATCTTGTAAGGTCCTTACGTCGATCTAATAAGCTATCAGGATTACCTCCAATGTCAGCTGGAAATTCTTTACTGAGCTCTGGATCCGAAGTCCTGTCCTTCCTCTGTCTCTATAATCTAATTCATACTTCTTTGAAATCTTTTTGCACAATAAAGCAGTAAATCAGCAGATTAATCGAGTAAAAGTGCAAAACATCTGTGAAGAATAAAACAGCCACCACATACATTTACCTTATTGTAGTGTGGAACCCTTGAGAACAGTTGATGTACTTTGTCCATTTTCTCCTTCCAATCCAGGGGTAGTCCATTGATATGCTGTAAAAAAGAGGTATAAGCATTTTTCCAATCTAAAAGGAGACTAACGTTTATAGCTCCATATGAGTAAAGAGTTAGTTGCTTCTGATTAAGTGAATGTGACAGAAGATATGAAAAAAATTGTCAAGCTAACCTGAGTCACGTTCTTTAGCTGCATTGATTGATGCTTTGGTATCCATGCCTTGATGCTTCTATGACTACCAGTCCAGGTAGTTATGGTAGGAGTAAACCTATTCACAAAGAGGGGAAATAATTGGCTTTAACAGTTTGCAAGATCACAGAAAAACACAGAAACATAAAGATAGGGAGGGATGATGTAGCTTACGTTACAACTGCAAGTAATTTGAACAGTTTGGTCAAGGGATTGAGTTGATTTCCCTGCAACAAATTGGCTATGTCCAATTAGAAGCTTGAAATTTGTGCTTGCTTTCGCTCTTGAGCAGAGCACCTTAGCCCTCTATGAGAGGCACTACAATTCATTTGGACTTTTCGTATCGTACCTGGCCCCATAAATGGTATTTTGAACCCATAAGATTTGCTGTCATATTGCCAATTAAACTGTCATCCTGACCACTTACTAATCCCTTAACACATGATGCCACCAAGAATTCTGATCTTCCATTTCGCCTTCTGTGATGAGCAACAGCAAGCTTTCTGTTTTGTCTGCCATGACCCTCCTGTGACGTGTTAAAGGCGAATCATAAATATGTTCAGTGCATCTACTGAGAAAGTTCTTGTAATTAGAGGTCAACAACATTACTGATAGGAATTTTCTTATAGCAGAGCATTGTAATCAAATTCATGCACACACGTCTATGTTTCTTGCTCCAATGAGGCGTTTCAGAAAGCAAATTGACCATTAACTATAATGGTTATGATTGGTCGAAAAACGTCAAAATATTATTATTTTTAAAAAGCATAGTGACTATAATGAGCAGCCAAATTTCAAACTCAATAAACAAGAAGGCCTAGACGCTTATAATCCAATAATCATAATGATATCATAATCCCTAAGCATATGAGCTGCCCCTCTGTGCATATATAAGAGAACTGCGGTAAAGTGCTGCAGCTAAAACTCCATTTATATCTATCAAGATTTGAACTTTGCACAGAAGCCTTACTATTTTGTGAGTTTTGCACAGATATCTATCAAGCCTTACTATTTATATCTATCAAGTTTTGCACAGATAGGCTAAAAACTCCGTGAAGCACCGCTTAAAGTTGCAAAAGAGACTTACATGAGTGTAAAGAGAGTAGAGGGTCCCTTTATCCAGTCCTTCTGGAGATGGTTCCTTCACTATGAGACAAGTACACCTTCCAATATCCACAGGTAAAGGCCTACATAACAATGACCTGAAAACATACCGCCAAAACATACATTATTAATTTGCTAAAAAATATGCAAGCAGCTTCTTACATGGGAAATCTACTTAAATGTCAGACCTATTAGGCAGAGTAGACCAGGAGGAAGCTGGTGCAGCCTCTGAATCAGAGTAATCCCAAATATTCCCAGAATTTGTAGTTCCAGAATCAACAGGTTCCAAAGTTCTGGTCCCAATTATCGAATCAGGTTCATGTTTCTTCATACATAGCTGAAGTGAAGACGGCTTCAAAGCCCTGTCTTTCGTATTCAAATTAGGACAATTAGGGACAAAATCCCCGGGGTCTAGCCGAATCCCTTTACAGAAGCCTGCATTTTCTTTATCATTCCAGCACCCAATTTGAGTCCTATTAGGAGTAAAATTCTCTTTGTCATCAGAAGGAACATTAGCAGGGTTGAGATTCCTTCGAATATGCACAGCAAGGGGAACAATGTTGTTGCCTGAATTCCCACCTTCGCTGGAGCTCCGGTTATGCCTGAGCTCACTGAGAGGATTAGCATATAAGGAATTATACGAAGACTGCCGAGGAAACACTGAGGTTTTCTTGAATTCAGACATTCTTTTTTCTGGTCTGAAAATGGAAGTAAAAGATAGATGGGGTGAAGTATCGAAGCCTATGCTGCTGCTGAAGTGGGGTGGTGGTTCATGTAGATTTTCTCATGGGATTGTCGGTTTTTGGTGCTTTTGAAGTGAAGTACTCGTTGGTAGACTGGATATGCCATCTGCCTTATCTAGTGTTTGATGCCATCGATGGAATCAACAAAAATCAACCGCAATTTGAATTTGAAAATTTTGTATTGGAAAATGTGTGAGTTGAGGATTTTTGGAGGAAAGTGTAACGGTAACTAGTTTTGTCTGGGACTTCTTGTAGGGCTTTGGTGGTCTGGTCGGTTGGACATGGGAGCCGTAATTCGTGAAGATTAATAAATACTCGGAGGCGGGAAGCAGATTTGAATAGAGGAATCAATAAAAGTAGGAATCTATTGCTATCATCATTAAAAGCCTTGTCCTGTTACGTACAAATCTGGTAAGTAATTATGACTCAAAAGAATACTAAGTAACTCAAAACCCGACATCCATCACCATGGTTGGCTGTCCCACATCTTCCAGTTTTGTTTCTTCAGGCTAATTGCAAAGCGCCCCCTGAATTACTTCCTGTTTGCCATGTAATCCCTGAGCTATCAACTCTACTGTCTTGTGCTAGCATCTTGTGGTGAAGCGTTAATCCATCATATTATCGAGTTATTAAGTGTGTTTGGATAGTAAATTATTTGAGATAATTTTATAAAGAAAACACTACTGTAACACTTTTTGGATGTGATGTATGTGAAATAAAAAAATGATTGAAAAATGTGTTGATGATGCAACCAAATCAATCAATATGTGTAAATAATGTATAATCCAAACAAACTCAATTATCATTTTACACTTCATCAAGTTCAAGTGCGAGTTTGCTAAAATGCAACTATCTAGCAGATGATTTAGCAAGTACATTAAAAATGATAGTAGTTGATTGGGGAATTTTAAGATTTAACATTTTTCTTCAGTATTTGAAAAAGATCTTAAGATGGGGAAACATTTCATTTGCACCAATTGAGTTTCTGTACACTTAAAAATTTAAAATACTCTCTTGTCACGTTCTTGGTATTCTAATCATTTTTTTTAAATTTTTGATTATGTAATCCTTGGAATCTGATTTAATTTTGCTAGGAACAAGATACTATCTACCATGTGTTTGAGCAACTACATATGAGTTAAATGCTTAACAATTCGTACTTTCTTTCTTTTTTTTTTATCGACACAGGGGTGTTCGGGTCAATTCTTACGGGGCCCGACTAATTCCCTGCTTTACAATTAGTACTTGAGCCCCTGGAATTATGTCTTTATGGACAATAAGCCATTTATAAAGTTTTCAAATTGCAATTTATTGATTGGCTAGATCCCTTCAAGTTCTAACTCAAGTTGTCCAATTTTACTCGGCCAAAATTATTAAAAAAAAAAAAGATTTGTGTTTATACTTGAGGTTGTCCAAGATAGAGGTGGCAACAAGGAGGCACTTGTAGTAGGGATGGCAATAAAGACAAATGTCCATAAGTGCATGTCCTTGCAAGGGAGGAATAGGAAGAGGGTTGGAGCGAAGCAAGGCGGGGGTGGTGGGAAATTTTCTCTGCTGCATTGAATGGGATGAGGAGGGGAGGGTGAGGGAGCATATCCCCACCCCCCTCCCCGCCTCACTTATATTTTAATATAGTATAATACATATGTATGATATTAAATAAATGCTATTTTATTATTTTTATTAAATAAAAATATTGTATGAAATAAATAATATGTTATGTTGTCATGTTAAGGTGATATAATTTTTTTGTTGAAACTTTAAAAGAAAGATTGATAAAGGGAAGTGATATTTATACCCCTTAGCCTAGCACTCGTTGGAAGTTATATTTTTAGTGAATGAATGAATTGGAGTGCAAGGGGTTAGATAAGTAGGGGATGAGAATTTTTGTAGAACTGTCCTCTGCCTCAAAACTGCCCTGTTGTCATCCCTAGACCAAGACACTTAGCTTTCTGTGAGTTTATTTTGCATGAACATATTGATTTATGACTTTAAGTATTGCTTCATTTGTGTATATTTATAAGCTTCATGATAAACTAATCTTTCATAGATTAGCTAACCATTAGGTAAAGCATAAAATGCAATTTTGGATGCAAGTCAGGATTTTAATCCTTAAACTTGCATGAGTGCACCCCTTGGCGCCCTCTTATAGATTTCCAATATCTCTTTTTTTTCGATTTTAAGGAGGCTCAAAACCTTACAAAATGAAGCAATACGTGAAAATATTTGAAAGGAGACTAAAGTAATAAATGCAAATATTTGAAAGTTCGATCTCTTGAGTCTTGACTATCTGGTTACTGTTGCCAAATTGGATATCGGGAACTCTACCTTTTTAGTCTTGAAACGTTTTGCGTTCCTTCACCCAGCCGGCCAGCCTATCTGCCTGTGCATGATTCTGACCCGACTAAGTACTTAAGAGTCGACCCAAAGGTCATGCCCCAAAGTCCGAATAAAACACTGGACCTAACCCGATATGCCACGCTGAAAACGAGTGGCTTTCTTGATGACCCGAATCATCTGAAAAACCAACGCACACTTCCACCATGGCACCAAAGCCAACCAGCCACCATCACCATGGCCGCCGCCGCCGCCGCCACCACCACTACAATTGCTCTCTTCACTAGCTCCTCTACTCTCTGCTGCAGAAAACCCACCTCATTAAGACCAAAAATCTTCAAGATAAAAGCATCATTGGCTACTATGTCCGCAACTACAACCAAAGTTGTCCCTGCGATTATAGTAGGAGGTGGACGTGTAGGAAAAGCTTTACAAGATATGGGAAATGGTGATGATGTTTTGGTGAAGAGGGGTGAATCCGTGCCCATTGATTTTCCTGGGCCCGTCTTGGTTTGTACTAGGAACGATGATCTTGAAGCTGTTCTTGAGTCTACTCCCAAGTCTCGTTGGAGCGGTACGATTACTCGCTATCTAAACCTGATTCCTACTCTTGTGGATTTTAATTTTCCTTTGTTTCTTTGTTTTGGATGGTCCATGCATGAATTTTTGAGTATTTCATCTCGTTTTTTTGTAGTCTCAAGCTATCTGCAAAGACCGAAGTACGTTACTAGCACATAGGGCCAGTTCAGTATAGCATTTCTTAAGAATCAAAAGTTGGACGAAAGTTTGGGATAAGTAACTATTGGTAATACTTGTATTCTAGCACATAAGGCCAGTTCAGTATAGCATTCATGAATTTTTGAGTATTTCATCCCTTTTTTTTTCTCCTTTTGGTAGTCTTTGGCTATCTGCAATGACCGAAGTAAGTTACTAGCACATAGGGCCAGTTCAGTATAGCATCTCTTGAGAATCAAAAGTTGGACAAAAGTCTGGGATGAGTAACTATTGGTAATACATGTATTCTAGCGGTTGAGCATCCTGAATGCTGTTGCTAGATAGGTTGCTAGACGGGTGAAAAAGATAGTGTTTGAGCTACAAATGCTTTCGAGAAAGTGTGCCAGTTGGGTTTCCATTTTTTCATTTGGTGCTTTGATGGTTCCCTTGTATAGTTGTATATGTAAATTACTTGACGCATTTTCCTTGACTAGACATTTTTTTTGTTTCATTTTTCTTTGCACTCATACTAGTAAAAGAAATTTGCTTTTTGGTAAGTACAGGGGAGTATGAGAGGAAATTATGTAATAGACTGGCTTAATGATTGTTGGGTTAGTTCAGAACTGGGTAGTCATACTTCAAAGGCTTTTATCTTTATCATCCTGTTTCAGGATGAAGAACTAAATGTTTCTCTAAACCTGATTTTCATGAATGTTTACCGGTTCTACATGATATAATTTTATGCACTAGCCAAGGAGTTGTAGTGGATAGATGTGTAATAGTGCATGTTAGGTTGAATTAGAATGGGACATAGGTTGATGTGTAAGCACTAAGCACAGTTGTAATAGATGTTGAAAATCTAGCAGATCTGGTTTTTTTCCAGAATGGGATGCTGGAGACTTGGTTCCAAAGTAAAGGTCTTAGTGACCCTGACCAAGTTCTGGCATATTTTGCTGTTTCAAAGCTTGGTGAACCTCCTACTGATGGGAAAACAGACACAAATCCTGAGGGACTCACAGCAGCTTATGGGAAGTGGGCTTCTGCAGTTGCTGGTAGATTGCTTGCAGGAGGTCTTTCATGTAAGGTAACAAAATTAGTTTTGATTTCTATTGATTGTAAATGATCTCTTAGGTGCAAAAATGAAACCCAATCAGCTTTTGAGGAAAAATTAGGAGCGTCCAGGTCAATGATTGTGAAATAGGGATGTCCATTTGCTCATCCATGCAGGCGATGAGTTTAATTGTCTGATGAAAACACCCGCTTGCATTAATTCATCCTCTGCAAAAATTAAATAGTTGTTGAGAATCAAATCCACACTTGGCCATGTTTCTTCCTGGTGCCAATGATATTTGATTCTTTGCCCATATATGGTAATTGTCTGGTGAAAACATCAGCATGCATTGATTCATCCTCTGCAAAAATTAAATGGTTATTTTCAAAGAGAATCAAATCCACACTTGGCCATGTTTCTTCTTGGTGTCAATGAATATTTGATTCTATTCCATAGATGGTACTCTTGTTTTGGGGATGCTCTATAAATCTATCATGTGAGTGATAGTTTATAGACTAGAGCTGGCAATTTAAGTCATTAACCAGTTCTCCTGATTTCGATTTTTTGGTTTATACATGCACCATTACACTTTTCTGAGTCACAGGTTTGAGATTCTATAGTAAGATTTTTCTCGTGGAAAATTTAGGTTCTTGAAAAGGAAGCATTCCAGAAGCAAATGTTCGAGAAGCTTATATGGATATGTGCCTTCATGCTCGTTGGTGCTCGCCATCCTGGAGCAACTGTAGGCATTGTTGAGAAGGAATACCGATCTGAGGTAAATTTTTTGCAGCTGTTAAACAAGTGAAGCATGACATTTTTTCACTTATCTTTTATTACTCTTAGGAGTAATTTTGACAAGCAGCACTCATTTTTCCAACTATTATGTTACCTATGGTGAATTGAATGCACCTTTTGCAATCATTCTTCTGGTTGTGCATACAGTGATCCAGCTTATTCTCAGTTTGTATCTTTACCAGGAACTATTAATTTGATGAAATATTTTTTTTCTTTTCTTTTTTTTTTTCTAGGAATGAGGATCTCTTGTCATGTAGAAAAATCACGTACAATGGAAATGG